GCCCCAATGCAGTGTCTCGGGAAGAGAAGGCAAACCGTACTCTTACAAAGCTCAGAAAGAAACAGTACCCATTTGTGCTCGAGAAGACGGTCCCGTGTGTTGGAAAGGGTACTGCATTATGAGCCGTATGATTCGGGTTTTAATCTCTCTTCTATCATAAGTGAACTGCAGCAAATACCTCATTAGAGCCCGGCTCCCGGTTCTTGATGTTTGAAAGAAACATCATCATTACTCCTTTCCTTGCCTCACACAATTGTGGGGCCCACGATAGGCAATGTGTGTGAAACCCCCTTTAGAGCAGAAAACACCCCAATAAGTGCATGATAATTTAGGTTTTAGGTGTCTCAGCGAGATCTCGATGGATAGACCACGTAAAGTGGCCGGTGTGGTCTAGAAAACCAGGTGAAAAAATGACAACAGGGTGAGTTAAATTGTTCCTTTTGTTCTGCCTATGGAAAACATTATAGTTATCCCTGGAATAACTTATTAAAAATAAGCAGGCAGGGGCGCCTGGGTGGCTCAGTCGGTTGAGCGTCCAACTTCGGCTCAGGTCATGATCTCACACTCCAGGAGTTCGAGCCCCGCATCAGGCTCTGTGCTGACAGCTCGGAGCCTGGAGCCTGCGTCCCATTCTGTGCCTCCCTCTCTTTCTCTGCCTCTCCCCTGCTCATGCTCGGTCTCTCTCTCTGTCTCAAAAATAAATAAAAACATTAAAAAAAAATTTTTTTTTTAAATAAGCAGGCAGAAATCCTTTGAGGGAAAGGGAAATCCGTAAATATTATTTGATTCCACCCAATCCAGTGTAGCCCTTAGAGCGACACAGCTTCCCCCCATGGTTTGCTTTAATTAAATGTCACCGCTAACTTCCTTGTAAAGAGACAGGCCTCTGCCATTTCTTCTAATTATCCAAATCGCCAGCCACTGTGTGTGGCCTTACCTAAGGCTTTTAACCACAAGTAATGTCACTAAATCAAAGCAAGTGGGAAGCGTCCCTGTTGCAGTGTCTCTAATCAATGCTACATGACATTCCTTTAAGACCGTTTGGAAGTATTCTCTCCAGGGTTACACCAATTCCAACATGATAACTCATCACGTTAAAACCATACCTCTCCCACCTCCTCTTGCGAGAGCAGCTGTATTTCATCCGGCAAGGACATACATTTGGCAATCACACTGCCGGCCTCGCCCACCCTCCTGCGAAAGGATGTTACGTGGTTTAATACCATTATGTGACTCTTTCTGTGAGTTCCCCAAACCCAGAAGCCGATAGTGTCCTTGATAATAATAATAATAATAATAATAATAATAATAACAAAATACCACGTATTGATGATTTCGTCCATGCAAATGTCCCGTCTACCCGGTTCTACACCTTAGCACAATCCTGTGTAGAGCTGTTGTTCCCAACCCACAGCTGCGGAAACCGAGGCCTCGAGGGGTTAAGTCAGGTGCCTAAAATATGAGAGAAACTCTAGAGACAAATGGAGTGGGTGGACCCGATGAGAAGACAGTTGCCCAGGAGACTGAGCAAAAGGGCTCTGAATTCTTATTATCTGTGTATCTAGCTGTGTTATTCCTCAAGTCTATTTCTGTTTAGAATTTGAGCTGAAAACTTTAGGCAGCTAGAAACATGAGTTCCTCCTATTTCCAACTTACGAATGTAAAAGTATAGAAACCCTGGAAAAAATGTGTGTTGTTCGTGAGAAATATTGTTTTTTACATTTCAGCATTTTACTGTGTAGCTCCAGATATTAAAAATATATGCTGCACATTCTTGATTTGTGTGCTGGTAAACATGGGTGTGTTTGGCTCGTGAAAATAAAAAATTATGTACATAAGTGCACTTAAGCTGTGCACTTACAGTCTAGATATTTTCCTACATGGACGTTAGATGTTAGTAAAAAGTTTCAAAACTGTATCTACATTTATCTGTACGTTTGTGTTTCATCACTATTTTGTATACTTTCCCATCAGGCTGTTAAGTACATCTTCTAATTCTCCCCGAGAATGATTTTCCTTTACAATGAAAATCTATCGAACGGCATCGTGGCCAATCTTTGCTGGCACTGGAAAACCGATTACCTTATGACCACACGTCAAGTCTAAACCCCTGATCCGGAGACCCAAGCAAGCTCTCTGTTTGGCAATTCTTGCTTAGAAGGTCAAAAAGGAGTGCATTACAAATAAAGGAGGAGGTCAAAAGAGACTGCTACCCTTTCTCTGTTGACCCCATTAGCCAGGGCAAGCACAGTGTTTGGCAACAGGGGTACAAGGTAGGGAGAAAGGTTGTTTTGCCGAGGTGAGGAGCAGTGCCCAGGCAAAACTCTGTCCTTTCTGCCCATCCAAATGAGGTTTGAGTGGAGACACTTCCTGGATAAGTACTGCTCCCTGCCCTCAGTCCTTGACCCAGAGTTTTGTCCTACCTTTCATCCCTCTCCTCCACCACCAGCTGGAGCAACCATTAGGCAACTGGGGATGGAGTGACAATAAGGTTTAAATGGTTTAAAAATAGTTGAACCAAAGCCTTTGGTGCCATATTTAATTCATACGGTTGCTCAGTTCTAATCAGCTGGGATTATCTCATTCACATCTATTTTCATCAACATTATCTTCATTAGACAATTAACTGTCAAAGGGCAGGGATTAAGTAAACGTTGCTCGGTGGGCAGTGTATTAATAAACTGATTCAGCTAATGAAACAAAGACCCAGGGACCACAAAAAAAAAAAAAAAAAAAAAAATGAACAGTGCTCCAGACAAGAGAGCAATTTGAATATGAGATGCCCAGGCGGGGACAGCAGGTCCATATCATTAGGAGCCCAAGAATTGTTCTATCTCATTGCCTTACCATCTTCGACAAGTGCCATCCATCTCATGGTCTAAGATGGCCGCTCCAGAGTTCCATTACACCCGCATGCCAACCAGCAGCAGGAAGAAAAGGGAAAGTGGAGAGTATGCATCTTTCCTTTGAGGGTATAACCCATAAGTGGAACATCACCCTTCCATGGAAGTTGGCCATACCAATTTTCAGCCTTAACTGGCTGAGAAATGTGATCATTAGCCAGACAGCCATATGCTCTCCGAAAATGTGAAGGTTCTGTTGCTAAACAAAGAGGAGAGAATGGGTATTGGGAGACAACAAGTGAAACAGACATTTATTCATCCATCCCTATGTTCATTCATTCATAAACACAGGATGCCTACTCAATGCCAGGAACTGTGCTCGTGTTAGGAATACCCTAATAAAAACCATCCTTCAGCCCTACATCATGGGACTTACACTCTATTGAGTAAGTACACATGGAAACAAACTGTTAATAAAAAACAGGTTGTTCTACCAGGATTATACACAAAGTACTGGTTCTCCTCTGCCTAGGAGAACCAGGAAAGCTCAGGAAGGAGGCAGCCTTTTGTACCGACCCTTGAAAGACAGTAATAATGACGCAATAATAATTGTATTTCCTCAGTAGTTATTGTGTACCAGATATTGTTCTAAATCCTTTATATATATATGTGTGTGTGTGTGTATACATACACACACACACACACACACACACACACACACACACATATATATATGAACCATATATACATTAAATCCCTCTGTGATAGAATCCATTATTGTTCCCACTTTACAGATGAGAAAACCAAAGCATTGTACCTGGTAGAATTGAGATTTGGACTCATGCAGTATGACTCCAGAGGCTGTACTGCCTTTCATAAGAAAGAAAGGGTCTCAGCTCCGTTGCTTAAATCTCCCAATGCTCCTTGCCCTGTGTAAGAAAGGAAACCTTGAAGAAAAGGGGGAAAATCAAAGACTAGAGGGTCTCACCAGCCTACCTATGACACGGCACAAGGGAACTCAAAATGCAGTGCAAGGGTCCTGACTTCTAGCTCTTTCTCTGAGAAGCATGGTTCTCAATGTACACTCTACAGAAACACTGGAGGATTCCAAGGACCTGTGGAATGCTTGCTAGAAACTTGGGTTTTTCAACATATAAGGCCATATCTGTTTCTTTACTCAAAAGTAAGTTTTTTGGATTTACCAAAACTCAGGCATCAGTTCAACGACCACTGCCCAAAACCAACATAATCATTTCCTCGATTCTGGGGGGCGTTTTTGTGTTGGCATGAAGGAAAGCAATAGGGGTCCACCGCCTCAATGATGCCTTGGGGCGCCTGGGTGGCGCAGTCGGTTAAGCGGCCGACTTCAGCCAGGTCACGATCTCGCGGTCCGCGAGTTCGAGCCCCGCGTCGGGCTCTGGGCCGATGGCTCGGAGCCTGGAGCCTGTTTCCGATTCTGTGCCTCCCTCTCTCTCTGCCCCTCCCCCGTTCATGCGCTGTCTCTCTCTGTCCCCAAAATAAATTAAAAAAGTTGAAAAAAAATTTAAAAAAAAAATCAATGATGCCTTTAGAGAAGCTCTTCTGCTTTGATGATCCCATTAGACACAATAGAATCTGTTAATTTGCAAGGTATTTACTACGATTCTCTATTATTCTTCACAAATTGTATTTTATTTAAAAGACACAAAAGTGCTGGCCTTAAAAGATGAGAAGAAAAACACAAGTGAAAGCTCTCAATGAAAACTTGGTAATATTTCAGCATGTTTCAATGAGTCTCTTTTTCTCCTGTTTTCTTCTGGTCATTTCCCACCCTTGATTAGTAATTTTACACCCTAATAGTAAAATATGAAATACTTTTTTAATACTGCCATGGTGGTAAAAGTGTTTAGTTTTTATGATGTGTCTCCAGAGATAGATCTTTAGCAGTATATAGTGAGGTTAATTCAGCATAAAATAGTATAATACCTTTCTTATTTCTGTTCACTCATTTAGAAATTATGGGACAAATTCTAGCAAAAGGTTCACCCCACTGACTGGAGACTAGTGTCTTAAAAGAGATTGGGGTTTTTATTTTCTTTTCAGGGAGGTTAAACAGTTTTTACCCACTTTTTTGAAAAACTAATAAACAGGAGTTATTTCCCATTTTTGTTTCCTCAGATTCCTGGAAGAAGGTGCCATTATCCAAAGCCTTGCAGTTACTGGAGATGCTTCTCCCATCGAACCCCAGCCAGTCAGCCAGCCCCTCACTCTTGTCATCCCGTTCAGGCTCTCTCCCTGAGTACTTGTGAAATGAAAGGACAGAGTCCTTTCCACTCTGCCATTTTGTGAAGATACTAATGATATTTCCTTTGGCTGTACTGTTCAATTATATGAGGCAGAGAAAGAAAGTGAGTTACCTATTTGGTAATACAATGGTGAAGCCAGGAAATTTTTTAAAAAGGAAAAGATGAGAAAAAGAAAAAGGCAGGAATTATCTTCCTCGGCCCCAGGCTACACTTAAAATGGGGGGGGGGGCTCCCCCAGCTCTGGTGCCCAGGGGCAGGGACACCTCTACAGGGATGCGTTTCCCTCCCAGGAAATCACAGCACCCCATCTTCCAACATGCTCCAGCATCATACAGAGTAAAAGAAGGTTAATTTCAGATATGCAATGATGTTCACTCTTCTTAATATCAGCACTTACAAAAGTCCAAATTGGGCTTGTACAATGAGCTACATTCTAACTTAATCTCACAGTCGCTTCTAATTTCAATCTCTAATGAACGCTTGGCAACTCGTGTGCTTCCTTTCATAAAAAGACAAAGTTCCTGCTTCTCACTTCATAAAAGTGGCAAGAACAAGTGAACCTTTAGCTAATATGGACAAGAAAAGGTTAATATGAGCAGAACGAAAACACAATCTCCCCACAATTTTAATTTTACAGTGAAATCCAAAGCTCTCTAGACTAGATAATTGTTAGTTTTTCTGGGTTCTTACTGCATTAGCCCACTTGGAAACCTATTAAGAATCAAAAGTAAACATGTCCAACAAGAGCTGCTCCCTAATTAATACTAAGACACGTATGAAAACATTCTTGAACATGAGGCTTAGTAGTATTGTATATTATACTGTCCTCACTTAGAAAAAGTTAAATGTTTCTTCAAATGAGAATGCAGACCAATAAAGATAGCTACATATGCACAATGTAGTGATCCATTTGACACGCAGACCAGTTCTGATAATGTTTCACTGCTTACCTGAATTTTAAAGATTAATTAATTCTAACTACCCTCCTGTGAGAGAAGCGATAAACAAACAAGTTGATTAACAGAAAAGTTAGAAAATACATAACATCATGCAAGGCTACCACACCTGAGGTCAGAATTCACTAGTTGTGACAAAGAGACGTTAATTCTCAGTCTCATTTCCAGCTGCTGGAACGAGGCACCATGTCACAGAGGCGACAAAAAGAAGAAAGAAAAAAAAAAGGTGACGCAATGCTTCACAAACCCCAAGAATTCGCTTCTGGTGTTTAAGAGCAGAAACTAAAACCGATCATAAATATAGAAGACCCAAATAAACCTGCTGATCTCTTCAAACTCTGACCCAACCTTAACCCAAGGATTAATGATTTTCTCAGAATTAAGCCAAAAGAGGTTTTCCGAGAAACAGAACCTACCTTTCTAAACCATCGAAAGGCATCAAAGTACAGAAAACCGTGGCATCTGGGAAAGGTTATAGGGACCTGTCCTGATGTGGGCCCTGTGCTATGATCTGTATCCAGTCATGTAACCTCCTGCGGGATTGCAGAACCTCTGGACATATGACTTCCTGCCAGGACAATGTCTCCCATCCAAGTACTAACCAAGCCCGACCCTGCTTAGCTTCCGAGATCAGACGAGATCGGGCGCGTTCAGGGTGGTATGGCCGTAGACAAGGACAATGTCTCCATTCTTCACATACTTGTCACGTTTTGTTTGGGATGTGGTGTGGCCACGTCTGATGAATTCAAAGATAGGAAAATAAGGAGGGCCGAGACCTTTATGGAGGATCATCTACTGGGGGGGGGGGGGAGGTGCTTCTCTGGGGATACACCAAGTTCAGGAGTTTAAGTCCAGTAGACGGGTCACGGCCTCCCAACCACTCACAATTCGGCAATACTGCGTTGCCACACGACACGAGGGAAAATAACACGTCATCCTTTTCTAGACTTCACGCTTTAAGTAGAGGAACGTTGATTCGTTTGTGCTGCTTGGCCAGCAGCAGACACTGGTCCACGGGATAATTCCATGTAGATTAAAACTCTAGTCTTTTAGGTGCTCTGTAACTGCCTGTCAGAAGAAATTACTGTTCTTAGACACCAAACCGTATCCTTGTGGTCTGAAAAGCTACCATGGGTCTGAAAGTGCTTATCATGGTTACATGCTTACCACACCTACAAAGTCTGCAGCCTATTAACGGAAACATATGTAGAATGAAAGGGGGCGGGTGGGTTGTAACTGGAAGAAAGAGTATCAGGACAGGTTTTAAAAGTCATAAAACGCAGGTCTCATTCTTCAAGTCATTAAAAGACCCATAGCAGTCTGCTGTTTAATACAATAAAATATAACCGTGAGGACCGTAATAGTTTAGCCATATCATAGGAGGAAAGAAAAATTAAATAACGTGCTAGAGAAAGTTGACCGAAGGACACAAAACCGAGAGCGTGGCAGTAATTTCTGTGAGGAATAACCTCGGGTGAACTTCAATGGTTTGCATGGATAATGGGGATCGCCAGCCTAACCTCCAGTGAGGAGTCTGCAAAGTCCTACTTGTGGACCCTTTACTCTAAAATCTAGACTCAAAGCTCCAAAAGTAGACGAGAATCTTACCAGCCACTGGGGAATATCAAGTCCCCGGATTCCCTAGTCTTCATTCTCAGGCATTTGCCGACTTGTCAGAGTTGAGAACAAGCATTCTGTGTTAAAGGTGGAGTACATGCTTTAGAAAAATCGTTGATTTTCAGAAATAATAGTGTCCAACTTTGCTACAATTCCACTTGGCCATGATGTTATGAGTTAGGAGGAGAGACGGAGAAGAGTTACAAAGATATTTGTACTTTCGCTCTGTCCGTAATAACAGTAATAATAATCCCGCCCAAATTCACTCCCAGATAGTTAGCAAAATGTTTACTACTAGACTAGAAGTCTATCACTATGTGTTGTATGATGAGAAAAAACTAGCCTCCGCGTTACGTTTTTAAAACGTGTACCTCTTACGAGTTTTTATAATTGAAGTGTTGAAAATCCAATACACTCTTTCAAGAGGGAAATCTAAACAGTTTTCTGTCAGTAACAGCAACATACAGTAGTCTGGAACCTCCTTGAAGTTAATTGCAGCACAGCTCACTAATGAAACTTTCCGTCTATTAAATCTTAACAGGCGTAACTATAAAAATGGCGCCAAGCTTTCTCCTGCTCTGGAATGTCCCAGCTAGCACTTTGTGACTTTTACCCTTTATCTTTGTAATTACTGTAATTATTGCAGAGTTGGAGTAGAATCAAGATCTAAGAATATAGTAGTTTTTTCCCAAGTCCGATTTTTATCATATGCTTAGGATGAGAATATTTTGAGATGGGCTGCAAGGCAGGCGGGGGGGGGGGGGGGCGGGGGTGGACAGTTACACTCATTTCACTGTAGAACCCATATTCGGGTTAAGAGTTGTTGGATTATTGCTGAGTTCCAGGATACACATACGAGACGCTAACAGCTTCTCAAGAACGGTGATTTCTTGGTAAACTGATTTTCTATTTTATTTTGGATACTTTATGTACTAATAGAAGTCGTTTTCTAAATAATATGAGGATGGAGGAGAACATGTCAAAATCGTTACTTTCAGCTTTATAGCCTAATTGAAAAAATGTTCCCCTCTTTTTTCCATAGTAGCCATCTGAAAATGGCATAGTCAATATTTTGACATTTTTGGAAGAAAACCAAAGGAAACAACAGTTCTTTTCTATATTACTTGCTGTCATGAAGAACAAAATCCCTTTTATTTTATTGTCCCTGAACGGTCGTATGTCCCTATGGTGGGAGGAGGACATAACGCTTGCCACCAGTTATTTGCTTAATTTCGTATCAATTTTTCCTAATATTAAAAAAGAAGTGCTTTAGGGTAGCACTCCTAGGAAGTGCAACCATTGTGCTCCTAGCTCCAAGCCTTTGTCCTAAATAGCAGCGCGAGAAAGGAAATGTCCCACTAGGAGACCGGTTGGGGGGCCAAATAGGATGAACTGTATACATAATGCATTGCAGGTATCTTCATAAATTCATACTTTGCTGCAGGATAAATGTATTTGAGTCTAATGCCCGGTGGGCATTTATTCCATTTCTATTTTCTCTTCACTAGGCAAGCCGGAGCCAGAAAGACAGCATGTACATATATAGTTTTGGCTACGATAACTAGGACATAAAACATGTTAATTAACTTGTGAAAAGTAAGTTTTGATTAGTTTTATAATATCTGCCTGGCACTTCAGTGATAAAGTGGATTTTTTGAATGACCCTGCAGACCAAATTTTCGCTTCAACGATCATCAGTTCCTACTTTATGTATTATATGGGCATCTCTTTACAACTGACCACTCAGCACAACATAGGTGCATCTACTGAAGCATGGTTTCTCTAAATGTGATCAGTACATAGACCACCTGCATCGTAATCACCCGGGGAGATTGCTTTAAAATGCAGATTCTTAGGCCAGCTTAATCACACGGTCTCAAGGAGGAGGTGGAGAAAGAAATCTGTTTCCCAAGCTCCCTAAATCACTCCAACGCACTGAAATTCATGCCCAGCTATGTCAAGGGAACCTCAGCGTGATTCACTACCCTCAATTATTCCACTTAATGCGTCATCTTCATTGTCAACGAATATATTTACTTAGCCCCCACCGAGTGCAAGACATTTTCCTGGGGGATGAGGTGAAGGCATGTCTGCCCTCCAGGCACTCGCGGTCCAGCTGGAGGGGTAAATCAAAGATGAATAGGAACACAGCACAGCACACACCAAGCCCAGATAACAATAATAGTAAGAGTGGCCACTTACCGAGCTCAGAATGTGAGGTCTATTTATACATTTTATCACTATGTCTCATAATCCTGGTTAGAAGATATAATTTTTCTTTTGTTATAAATTAAAACTTCTAACTCAGGAAGTTCAAGTGGCTTTCCCAATGCCACACAGCTTATAAACGAGAGAGGTAGAGCTGAGACCAGACTCTGACCCAAGGCCCATAGCCTTCCAGCCCACCGTGCTGGCCTATCCAAGGAGGGCTCAGGTACAGCAAATCTGGGCTCAGCCCTGTTCTCGTTGTGCTGAAAGTACGCTAGCAATGTCACAAACAAAGCTTGGGGGGGGGGGGGCTCAATGAATAAAGCACCTCATGATACGAAATGTATACAGGGGTGTAGTTTACCC